CCCCCCCCGGACCGCGTCTCCGATCGACGGGCTATTACGTACTGCCGCCGTTCACCTCGCATCTCTCCAAGTTATTCAAAGCGGGGTTACATCACACTCGGAAAAGGTTCGAATGGGAATGAAGCGTTATAATAACTTGACCCCTCGGTAAATAGTTGGGTTGCCCTCTAGGGGGGCTAATTTTCTCCTTTCGTAGCAAGCAGTACGCGTGCGCTCGCGTATCCAACTTGTCACGTTCCCCGACTTGACCTGACGGAGAAGTGCACTGTCGTATGCATAGGTTATAGTCTGAATGTATACACCGTGCTTCCCTTCCATTCTTTGACCTTACTTGCTGTTCACCTTGGGTATTTCTGAGGCCGGTTCTAATTCCTTTTTTGGGGGATAGATTTATTCTCTGGGTACACTTTGCGAAGCCCTTTGGTTACCTTTTGAATTTCAACCGGGGTCTGCAATCTGTCCAAAATGTCCCACCAGAACCGTAAATGTCATTTGGATGATTAGTCGGACGTATTTGAATCAAAAGGAGCCATCTTCATTTTACCACGAACTTCATGGTCTCAGGGCTCAGGTCTTATTAAGGATAGTTCTTTTGGTTTAATTGCATTCAGTTATATCATAAAAGTTCTGAAATTTTGCAAAATAGCTTTGCAAAATAGCTTTTGCAAAGTTTTGCTTTTACTAGATACAAATTCAACCAGAGGTGTTAAATTCGGCCCAATACAAGCAAAATGAATGTTATATTGTCCGAATAGATAACTATTCGTGCTTTTCGACAGGCTTGTTGCCTACCTGATAAAATTGAAGGCGATCTTCAGGTGCACGATACTTCCAAGTTGGTTTACTCGTCATGGACTGATTCGATGAAACATGGAGCGATCTGATAATTGTTTTCATTTTTGATTAGTTGCTGCTCATGTTTTTTGGTAGGTTTGTTGCCTTTAGCCGTTTTAAAGAGAACTTTAAAGTGACAAAATTTTCGAGCAGATTTCTCAATAGCCTGCTTGTTCAATTGGAACGTGGGGTGATATAAATGTGTATTATTCATATTGACTATGCGGCTGATTTTTTGCCTATCCGGACATATTGAAGGAAACTGATAGTGAAGGATATCGTGGTGGGAAGGGGGGGGATATTAATCTTACCCCCCAAGGTTAAACAGAAGAATGCTTCCAGAATCTTCAGGTGATCTCTTAAGGTGGATCTTCAGCTTTTGCGCACTGCATTCTGGGTACGATCAATATATCCCTTCTAACTATTAGGTGAATTATTTTGGAAAAATCTAAATTTCAGTCTGCAAATAAATCATTGAGGAATGTTCGTATCGAAAATCACCCTCCAAAATCTCAATTCAAAGTCAAAAGTACTGTTTCCAATTAACCATTGATATCGATACATTCAAATATGTTGCAAAATTGAAACAGTGCTTTTGACTTTATTTCAAGATTTTGAAAGATGATTTTCAGCAGGAAAATTCTTCAATGATTTATCTACAGACTGAAATTTAGATTTGCCCAAAACAATTCACCTAAAGGTTGAATCTTGAGATAAATCTATCTTACTCAGAATGCATTTTGCAAAGGCTGAAGATCCACCTTAGCGTTAATAATGTTTTTTGAATGTACTTAGAGGCCCTCCAATTTTTGTTGCTTTTTTTAACTATCTCAGGTGCGAATGCCTGTCCTCTCAATTTGAGATACTACAAGCATGGTACGACGATCGATGTCAGTGCGGCACATTAGAGTTAATCGTGTCGAATCATTTACCATCAATGTAAAGGAATGGAAAATGAAAACCTCGTCAAACACTCGGACAATTCTCAGCACATCAATTTCATTTTTCGCTGTCAAATTACTCGATGAATAAATCATGATGGCAAGTGCAAAACAGGATCCATACGCTCCATAAAATTAGGATGCACACTAAGACTTCAAGCGCTGTGAGACGCTACACAGCTTCATTCAGAAGACAAATTGATGAGAGGATTACGTGTTTGGCCTACAATTAGCCCATTACTCAATTTAAGGGAAGAAGACTCGTAAATTTTGTAAAAATATAAAAAGCACATATTTTTTTGGGCTTTCAAGACACTCATGTTCCATTCCCTACTGCGTGTTCGATATTTGTAAATAGTATTGTATTGGACAGTTACGAGAATAACTTTAAAGGCGGAAAAATAGATAACACAGAATCGGAAGGTTTTTTTAATAATTTACATCAATATTGTACAGGTTTGTTATAATGTTGTAATGCTCCACGTCTCAACCGCATTCTTGACTGTTCAGTCTTTTTAGGGAATAGATAATTTTAAAATCGGTGTGCGAATCATGTTGTAGGTGCGTGCAAAAGGAAGATTCTCAAAAATTGCTGAATCAGCAAAAATAAAAAAAAAAATATTATTTTACAAACAACGCATTATTTACAGATGTGGGGTATATAAGGAGGGATGCATGTAGCCTCGCATAAATTTATGGTTTTTGTTTTACATATAAGATCTTCTCTCTGTTTCAGGAATTTAAACTTCGCTACAGGAGCAGTGAACGATAATGACGAGTTCGGCTACAATAGGAAGAAAATCACAAGAGTAAGTCAATTCTACTCATTTTATCAGTAGAGTTACAATGGGTCAACGAATTCTTTTACAGAATCGTATTTTGGTGATTGATTCTGATATATCAACAAAATAGAAAATTTCTGACTAAAAACTATTTTTTTCGTCGAAGATTAANCCACCCTGTAACGCAGAGAGGCAGTTAAATTCCTTGATCTTCTGCCGCAGAATCATCATCATTATTAAATAGATTCAACTAATCGCTCCGATTCCAAATAAGCTACTGCACCACCATTGCTAGCTGTGGAGGGCGCCCGTAGGGCGCCCGGAGCAGCTAGTAATAATAATATTATCCTTGATCCCTAAATGATACCTTGATTTCCCCTGTTTGGTCCCATCACTCAGTGTAATCATCGGTTGCATCACGAGTATCATCGATGAGATCAGTTCTAAGGCAACAAGATGAGAATAAACTTAGTCAATGACATAACCTACAACGTTATTACTAAATAAGTAATTAATTCAATTTACAATGCAGAAACTTAGCAGTTGCGCTAGTGCTATTTCCTGCTTTATTTCCCTTCCAGTACCAATCATCAAAATCCGATTCCGTAGCACGCGTACGAATTTGTTTTAAAAAATTTACCATTGTGCCGCTGAATACAACGCGCTGCGTCTTTTCGTCCATGCGCACTTACATTTGGACTGCGGATAGTTTTTTAGCGGGGTTAAAACCATTCTATTAAAAATTTAAACAAATTGTCTGCAATCGATCAGGGAATAAAAGTACTCGAAGCTTGAGCACGCGAAATATATCATCACTGGAGCCTTGGTGAAAGTAGGAATTTTCGTGGAAGGGGGGAGGCAGAGGGGCACTTCTTCAACGAGATCTGTCAGGTGCTGAAAAGGCATCCCACCAATAGGAATAGGTCTCAAGTTCCAAGGGAGGGCCCGAGAGATTTCTATCGACTCATCCCTCCAGATGCATGCGCAACTAGCCAATCAATTTCTTAGGCCCCGATATGTCACATTACTATTACTTTCACTGGGCTAAGAATATGATCTCGTGAGTATTATGTGATGCGTTTTCGGCTCCCCTTCCCTTTCAAAAAAGAATACACTTAAATAATTTCACTTCTTTGGTCCCGTTTCAAGCAAAAAATGAAGACCGTTGATCTAAAGGTGGGGAAAGAGTCAATTTTTCATTTTTGTCTGCTCCATTAGCGAGACATCTTTGAATACATAATTAACTGCGCCATCCCACGTCTTATTATTTTGCAATTCTGATGAGTTGCTTGAAAATGTCACCTAGCGTTTGAGTCTGACCTACTATTTTCGATTTGGTTTTAACCTACCTCAACCTGAAGCCTTGAGAGATTATGAAAAGGTGGCCGCAAACACCTGCCGCAGGTTGAGTTCTCCGGATACCGGTGGACGACCTTCTGGGTCCCTTGCATTCGGATCGTGTCGAGAATGACGTCAACATCTCACGCCTTTTGGAATCAGTGTAATGGGATCGAGGTATTGAGCCTCTAATGCCAGCCGTTGACGTTATTCGTGGCTAGCCGAATTCGGTTTCGGTAACGCACGTTTTTTCCTTTGACGCAGGATTAAGTCTTGCGCATCTGAGTACGTGCGCAATATCAATACTAACATTCAAACGAGAAAAAAGGTTCAATGTGGGGAAAAAGGAATCGCTCGCAATGTGCAGGTCTGATTTCAGGCTCAATTCAAAATTATAGACACAATTTTGTGATGACCATTATTTCTGTCCAAGAACATTTTCACCGGGACAGAAATAATTTTTCACCACAAAAGTAACACTGTGACCGAGACCTGATTCTCGCATCGTGCCTGAAACCATACATGAGCATTGCATGAGCCACACATCTTTTTTCTACGTGAATCTTATGATTTTTGTTTCGACTTTCGTGCGTTGATTATTTTACAAGACAGAAAGTGATATCCTAGAGAAAAGATGTGGTTCATTTGCGCTGTAATTCCCATTAAGAGAATGATTCTACTTAGAGGAACACTCGAGCGGGTATATACTCTGCAAACGCTTGTGAAGCGGTCATCAAAAACTCAAAGGATTCAAGTGTGTTGCACCACGTGGCAGCGTTATAAGGACCGTCGTACTTTTGTTGTTCTTGCAACAGCTCCTCTCTTGTGAGGCTCTATGCGATTTAATTATGACTTAGTTTTAAGGAAATCCTTAACATGACACCATAAAGAAAGTTGACTTTAACAAATTTCGAGTAAAATTCAGCGCACACCCTTAGGAATAGACCTTTACAGGGATTAACTCGTTTTACCTCTACAAAAAATCAAAAATATAGATGAAAATTTGTTTGCAGGCTCTGCAATTTCAAGTCAGGTGCGTATACCTACCTCAAAATTATCAAAGCATACATTTTATCCTTATCCTCCGAACTTTTCCTTCTTCACAATGACAAATCATTATTATCCCTCGCAATTATTTATTCCTGAGAGTATTCTGTTGAATGTTACTTGAGGTGCGTTAGAACTTTCTTTTTGATGATGCTGTGCTAAGGATTTCCTTGAGCTCCTCTTAGTCTCGACGTACTCCGTATTGAGCCCCCAGAAAAGGAATGACGATGAATGCGATCTTATATTTTTGACGGTGTCGATTTAATATGATGCTCCGGAGGTTCATTCTTAATCAATCATCGAATAAAAATAGTCTGATGTAGCTGTAACTATTTCTGTCCGAAAAAAAATGATAAATTTTATCTGAAGGGAAGTGTCGACCGAATACAGGTGCTGCGTCTTTAATGCCACGATTCTCGTCGTGATAATGTGAGTCTCGCTACTGTAATTACGACACACAATGCCGCGTTAGAATGTTTTGCGGTTCCGATGAGTCGCTTTTAAATGTCACGCAACGTATGACCTACCAATTTTTATTTTGTGCTAACCTACCTCAATCTGAAACCTGTAACCGATTATAATAATAGAATAAGTGGTGAGGCAAGTTTGAATTTTGAATCTCGCTGACCTCGACATCACTGAGTTTCAAAGTTCCCAGGTTGGATATCTACATGTTTGAGACAGCGCCATATAATTATGATGAGATCAGCATTCCAAGATCCGAAAGCCATGTGGCTTTTTAAAGGGTCAACCTTAACCCTCTCAAATAGCTAAATTGGTGAATTTCCATGCATATCTGATTTTTTTTTCCAAATCCGCATTTACATAAATTCTCCCAAAATTTCAGGACCATAATATTTTTATTTCACGTTGTTAAAAAGCGCAATCCTTTCGCCGGGAGAATTTTGCTATCACTTCGCCGGGCAAATTGAACTGTCCCCAAAAAATATCATACCCAAATAAACTAGTTCATAACGATACTTTCTGCTAGATCTCTATGCTTCCTGAGAAGAACAAACATAAATGTGGATCAATGATTTTAACTTCCGCCGCCGCGCAGACTGCACCGTGTTTGGCGCAATGCGTGAAGTATTCCGACAGTCTTGTAGGCGCTATGCGTTTCACGCTGACCGCACTGTGTTTGGCGCAATGCGTGAAGTATTCATGCATTCTTGTAGGCGCTATCCGTTTCACGCTGACCGCAATGACCGCACTGTGTTTGATGCAATGCGTGAAGTATTCGTGCAGTCTTGTAGGCGCTAATAAGTGTTACATGCCGATCGCCGCGCCGAGGGCTTCTCCTTTTCATCTCAAGTCCTCGTTATTATTTCTCTCTAAGTCGCGCCGCTCCAGGCCAAATTGCGTGTTTGGTCTCTCTCTTAACCCCACGTATTGAAGGTGCTGTCTCTTGTATCACTTTGTAAGAGACGACAAAAATAGAAATTACTATAATCTCTCTCAGGAAATGAGAGATTTTGTCGGCCCTCAACTAGCGAGCACACCCCATCTTTCCACTTGCACATAGTTCCAATTCGCATAAATACGTCCTTATTTGAGGAAAACTCTTTGTTACTCCATAAATCCTCTCGTAACCCTGAATAATTTCCGAGAATTTCCGATTTATACCCACCAATTAGGTGATTTGTTCGTAAGAGATTCCGATTGTAGAGGTGAGCGGAAACTTTTCAGAAGGATTATTTGAGAAGATGTTGCTCCTGAGTGCGGGAGTCGTGGTGCTCTTGGTGGGTTTTTTATGTCACGTGGGATTATGACGCGGGTGTTAGTGTTTTGAGCTCTGAAGTGGAGCGTCGAGCGAGCTGAGAGTTTTCTCGGGTGGAGTCGTCGAACTTCAACTCGTGCGACCGTGTTCGCACGTCAGCGCGGCATCGGCAGCGGTCAGTTGAAAATGACTCGGTTTATTCACCTGGAGACCCGGCCCGACTTCGTCGAATTTGGATGCAAATGCGCCACCCATCGGCCGTCGGGTCAACACTTGCCACCGCCACTTCCACCTTCCCGCACCATCCCCTCATGAGGATGTCGGTTAAAAGAGCCGGGGACCTCTGTCTTACCGTTCAATCCAAAATGATGTTACTACGTCTTGGAACTGCCCATTGCAGGGAATCGCTGGCTTAAATCTTATTTTCCAAGAATTCTTGATGGATAAACACAAAGGCACATGTTGAGTCCACGCCAACTGAGTTTACGCACTTTTAGACTGTGAGCAAAGATCCACAATCTTGATTCTTGCAACTACTTTCCGTGCGACAGTAACGCACATGTTGCATATTACTATGTATGTATGAGCCGCTTTTACGGCGCGTTAGGGCGCTCTGCGACGCCTATTCTCCACAGGAATCTGTCATGGTAGAGATCCTCCGGAAGCTGGCATCTCTCCATCTCTTCATGGATGCCCTCTACCCACCGTTTGGCTGGACAAATACATGCATATTACTACATACATTTATTCTACATTTATTAACCTGTACATTTCATGTTATTACTATTGAAAAGAGTATGAGCACTCATTTCAGACGATTTTCTATCGCATTCTTAAGTTAATGTGTTCGCGCAATTTTTAGGAAATTAACTATGTTACAATAAATATTAGTAAAAGTTTACTTCATTGGGGCGATGGGCGA